TGTGTGTATACACATATACACACCACATCTTCTTTACCCATTCATCCATCAATGGACCTTTGGGCTCTTTCCATACTTTGGCTATTGTTGATAGTGCTGCTATAAACATGGGGGTGCATGTAGATTCACTTTTTTTTATACTTCTCCGAACACCAGCTTTTTGGGCCCCAATCAGATGTCAGGAATAGAGGTTTAACTGCTGTCCTAATTCTGGAGTCAGCGAGGGGTTGGTTTTGACAATGTCTAACTAGGATCTGGGGCTACAAGGAGCAATAAATTACCCAAAACCCATGTGAGTGTGTTGTTCAAAATGTATTTCAGTGAAGCTTATTATAAGTATAGATAGTTTAATATAGGATTATATGGCATTGTAGAAAGCATGGACTCGATTCAAGCCACTCCAGGTCTGAATTTTGGCTCTACCCACTTACCCACAATAGACCCTTAGTTAGGAGAATTCACCCAAGGTTTAGTTACTTAATCTACGAAATAGGAACAGCAACACTAGTTCCATTAAGTTCCCAGCATACAACAGATTCTCAAATGGCAGCTATTTTTAGCTATTACCACAAAGATTATCTTCAATCTTTGCCCATTGAATTGACTTATAGTCATTGCAAATCTGTCCTCTAAAAGTGGGATGCAAGCAGTTGTCTTATTCTGACAATATGCCTTGATAGCAAAAGAGGTTGAGGCATATTATGAACTAGTCTGGGTCTCAGACTTCAATAATAATTTAAAAAGTAGTAATAATAGCAGAAAAAACTTGCTATGTCCTAGGTATTGTTTTCAGAGCTTTATATATATTATCCCATTTATTCTTCCCAATTGTCCTCTGAATTCGATTTTGTTACTATTCCCATTTTACAGAAAATATCTCAGGTGAGTGTTCCACAGACAGAAAGCTGTGGAGCCAGAATCTGAGCCAGGGATATGGTTCCAGTATCTATCCACTGGACCATACTATAAGGATGCTATACCCTCCTGTATCAGAAATGTCGGTTCAGGACCTAAAATTTCTGTGTGTGTGTGTGTGTAGGTTGTGTGTAGGTGTGTGTGGTTTGGGCAGTGTGGTATTAAATTAGTTTGACTTCCAAGAGCGAGGAGACATTGAGTAGTAGGGAAAAGGAACCCCCAAACCTGACAGATGGTAAGATGTATGTGATGTTTACCCAAAATAAAAAAAAAATAAAAATTCCCAGGTGAGCTTGCCATAAGTGAATAATAAACATGAACACAACCAAATTGCCTTCAAAACAATAATCCTGAAGATATAAGTAATCAAACAGCTTTTGAATGTTTCAAGTAAGAAAAAAGAACTTTCCTTTATGCCAAAAGTTTATGTTTCCTAAATTATAAAGATTTTAACTTTTTTGTTGTGAGTTCCAAGCTTTTCATGATATTTATAAATTTAATTTTTTTTACAACAAAATATGTCTTGCCTGTATGGAAAGGGCAACAGGGGAGTTTGAGACAATTATAAAGGGGAAAAAAACCCAAAATTCCCATATTTATTGGGAGTAAGAGTTTTCAGCAAAGTACGAAGATAATGCAAACTACTCCCCCTTTTTTTGCTCTGGCTTGATAAAACAAATGTTTGAAAAAATATAAAATATACTCTTATTACTCATGGAGGAGTTTTTGTTCTACTTACTTTCCTAAAATGAAGAGATCTAAAATACATATCTACATCTTCCAAGCTTCAGTCACTGTTTGTTTGGAGGAAACTTTTATTCCTTTGCCATTTGTGGTCCTTTTAACAGCAGAGAACTCTTGGTAACCATTTCCAAGATCTGTCAGATGTTTTCAGGAGGAACGAGTGAGTTCTTGTGCTTGAACTCATTTTTGTTTGCAAAGAAGGAATAGAATGTACTCCTTCATTACTAGCCATGACAGTGCTGGAGGGGATGAGGTTTTGGCTAAAAGTATTTAAACATCAAACTATTGCATTAAATAAAGAGAAGCTTATCAATTTAGAAAAGTAAAAATAAAATGCCTATATGTATTGCTTCACTCTACTGCTTAGCTGAAATATAGCCTCTGTCTCATCTTCTTTCTTTCTGCCTCTTTCCCTTTCTTTCTTTCTTTCTTTCTTTCTTTCTTTCTTTCTTTCTTTCTTTCTTTCTTTCATTTTTAAAACAACTCTATAAAAATGTAAAAAAACATTTTTAGCTTAGTGGTCATACTAAAACAGGCTAAAGGCTGGATTTGGCCCATGAAAAATAGTTTGCCAAATCTTTGATTTATAGTCTAATCAAGAGATAATTATGATTACTAACTTTCTTAATCTCTGATGAATTTTTACCCAAATAATTTATTTTTAACTACATCGAGCTTCTCCAGTAAATGGTGTGGGGGAGGACAAATAATTTCCCCTCTATTCTTTTAGGTTCTTGGCTGAGACACCCCTGTAATAAAAAAAGGCAGATTAACAAGAGAAAAACGCACAGAAATTTAATAACGTGTACCTCCTGTATATACGGGAGAGACCAAGGAGAATGAATAACCTCTCCAAAATGACCTAAGATACCCCCTTAAATACCACCTCCAGCTGAAGACAAAAGATGTTGGGGGATATGGGAAGCAGGCCAGTTATGGGAGGTTTCCAGGAAAAGCAGTCATCAAAAACCCACTTAAATCAAGTGGACTTAAGTCCTTGCCTTCTCTACTGATATGAGTTTCTAGAGATTTGGAGTCTTCTCTAAATCCTAAGTCTCTAAATGCCTTCTCAGAAGAAGACACCCTTACAAATGGAGAGTTCTCTTATAACTGTAAACGTCTCTTACAAAAGGGCAGCTTTTACTTGGTTTCCAGAGCTTCTCTACTATCTGCTGTTTCTTAAAAATAATCAGCCTAAAATAATGCTTATGCCAAAGGAACATATTTTGGGGTGGCAAATTCTGCTCCCCTGCAATGGTTTCTGACCCAGTATTCCTACTATATCTACAGTTTAAAATAAAATTCAAAAGAGAACAGCAGTTTACCAGCATTCTTTCCAGTGTTACTTCTTTCTTGAGCTGGTCGACTTCCATCTTCAATTTGTCCTTTTCCGTCAGGTCCTCAATATTGATCACTGGCATCTTTTGCCTGCTGAAAAAATAGATAGTTCGTGCACCTGAATTGCTGGCCTTTGTTTAAAGCCAATGTTAGCCAACACTTCCCTCCACTCTTAACTTACTAAGTGAATTCTTTCTTTGTTTTAGTTTTCTGTGATAATGGATTTCTTATGAACGCTCTCTGAACAATTCTAGCACTACACGCTAGCCTTGCAATTTTAAAGCTCCTTTATAATCTTCACTAATATGATTAAACCAAGCATTGGACTCTAAACACCTGCTAGTAGGTTTGTGGGGAGAGGTCAGTTTAATCATATGCAATCTGCAACACCAAAAGCCTCTCTTTTTCCCTGTTTTGTTTTTTTTTTTTTTCACACAATTTAAAAATTTGGGTCTCCAACCTTCTTCTCCAACACCAAAGCCCTCCATCATATGATTTATGCCATTTAAATTAGTTTGAGGTCATTTTGAGGACTGCCCATTAATCCCCTAAATCGCTAGAGTACTTAATCTGGTATTAACAGAGAACCATACAAAAACTGTTATTATGAGTTCTTTATAAATAATAGATTGAACTATGAACCAATAGAGTAGAAATACAGCAAACAATCTTATTAATCAAAAATAAACTAGCATGTTACTCTAAACAATACTTGGAAGTGTGTAATAACTGTCAATGCATTGGATAACAACGATGAGCAAATGGAGCAGGTTAAAGGTAGCATAGTGGGTCTGATCTACTGACGCTCATCATAGAAGAAGGATCTTTTGCACTCTCAGAAATCTCCTCTCCTTGATTTTATCAGTGGGCAAAGGGGAAGATAAGCAACTGTCGACTTGCTGGAACTGTCCAGTTCCATATGCAACTGTCTGGAAAATATTTCATTGTAGCCAAGTGGCATCACTTATAATCTCTCCTTTTTTGGTCCTCTCTTTTTCTCCTTTGTCTCCCTGGTCCAATTTTTTTTTTTTTAATTATATATGAAATTTATTGTCAAACTGGTTTCCATACAACACCCAGTGCTCATCCCAAAAGGTGCCCTCCTCAATACCCATCACCCATCCTCTCCTCCCTCCCACCCCCCATCAACCCTCAGTTTCTTCTCAGTTCTCAACAGTCTCTTATGCTTTGGCTCTCTCCCACTCT